AAAATGATTTATTGAAACCTTTACTGTTCCCACGTCCAGACAAACATCTGCAGCTCAGTATAAAGTGGTGCTGGTCAGCCCTGCTCTCATAAAAGCTTTATGGATGTACATTAAAGTCTAAACGTGCATTAAAGTAAATATCCATCGAATGAAAAGTATCGATCCTTACAAGCAATTATCTTTGGAAAAAAATTGGAAAAATATAAGTCAGCTGATGTTGACGGAGTTCTGTGCACAATCCAATCAATCCAAACGGCAGCGTTCCATATCTGTGTCTAAGTGGCGCTCTCTCTCTCGCTCTCTCTCTCTCTCTCTCTCAGGCCTCCGGCAGCCGCGGCAGAAATCATTACAATCTCCCTGCACCTCCAGGTCACTAAACTAACACTCATTCACCTGAGTGACAGCAAATCTTTCCCACAATGCCGCTGGGCAGCGGGGGGATCGGCATGTTTAAGGTTTGGAGTCCAAACAGAGTCGGCCGCTGCCTGCCTGTTTGGATGGAGGTTCAAGTCCAGTCACAGACACAGGAGCTGGACATTACAGATGTCCGTCAGGTGACTGTGAAGTCGGCTGAACGCTAGGTACGGACGATTTTGGCAAACCGACTTCGTCCTGCGATTGTCTGTGCAGAACCTCAGCTGTTTAATTGATATTAGAGGTAGAGACGAAGCAGCAGCCAATCAGACAGGAGGTGAGGACAGTGTCACAGCCTAGACAGAGGTGGGGATTAGAACCTATGACCCTCATGATGTAAGGCAGGAGTACAAGCCACGCAAATGTCACCGTGACATTCCTGGTACCGACCGAGCCTGAAGTAAACTTTAGCTTCTCTGTTTTTGCGCAGCTACGTCTCCTGACACACAACTGCACTAATTGGAGGAGGTTTAAAAAAAGGTTGAACGTTCCCTTTAAATTGCAGCAGCAGCAGAATGTCAGCGAAGCACAGGTATTTCTGCCGTCGTCTCAGATGCACCCGGGCGTGACAACAGCGCTGCTCCAGGCTGAAGACTTTTCTCTAAATTCATTTGATGACACACTTTCTCTGCTCCGCCGTGCACGCCGTCGTCACGCCTTAACAAAAAACCTGGTCCTGGAGGCAAAGACTGGGAACGTGCAGATCCCGGAATGAATTTCCATGTTTGTCTGTCAGGATTAAACCGCGGCTCATTTTTAACGTGATATTTGAAAGTTTGATTCAAACGTTGTGTAGTTTAGCCGTGAGGCCCGCCGTTTGTTTTTGCGTTTTCATTTCTGCTGTCACACATGTCAAACGTCACATTAACCACCAGCAGCCGTGGAATTGTTGTTTTTATTTTCCTAGAAAAACAGCAGCGTCTGTTCACAGGCGGCAGGAGGGGTGAAAGGTTGAATCCCTGCAGGGGTTCGTCCTCCCCGCAGCAGGAGAGAAAATGTTTGTCCAAAATCAAAGTCTGACAGAAGCGCAGACACACGTGTATGAATAATCACATTCGCTCTTCATTTAGAACAGGAACGACGGCAATATCTGCCGTAGAGCAGCAGTCATCCATCACTGCACCACCGTAATGCCACACGTTTAGGAGCTGCTGCTGATTGTCTGAGAGCAGTGAGGAGTGGGAGCTGAGAGGTCTGTGGGGGTCCGGGTCGGATGAGGCTGGATGAGGCTGGATGAGGCGTAAATGTAGGGTCGTCTGACACAGGTGTTTGACATTGACAGTGTGGACAACAGGCTCATCACAGAACTGAGTCGGTTGACTGAGGGGAGGGGGCTCCAGATAATCTCATGGTTTGATCAAAGTTAACAGAAATATGCAGATAATCTCATGTTTTGATCAAAGTTAACAGAAATATGCAGTAAATGTGGCCTGTAAATACTCTGGTATTCCAAAGATAACAGAAGTTACCAAAAATAATGTTTTTATTTTGTTTAAATTTAATAAAATTTTCCAAAGATAACAGAAGTTTTTTATTTTGTTTAAATTTAATAAAATCTTTAGACAGAGGCGTTGACCAGCTGCTTAACGACAAATTGAAGTTAGCGTAGCATTCACCGACAGCAGGCGGTAAAAGGAAATGAGCTAAAGGATTGTGTTAGTTTAGCAGGTTCATGATAATCTGGAGATAAGATTAGGATTACATTAGGGTTAGAATATTTATAATGACTAGTATGAGTTCACTAGTTTACCGTTAGATTAGATTGGGCCAGATTATTCTAGATCAGTGTTTGGACGTTTCATTTTCGTTTCAGCAGGTTTTAAATTTTCAGGTTCATTTAAGAAAGGAACTCCTGCCTGCGTCGCTCTCAGACTGAATCACAAAAGACTCTTCAATTAAAAAGAAAAAAGAAAAGAAAAGTCATTTATGAGCTCGCACCAATAATCCAGCTCATTCTCACCACCGTGTGACCCGACTTAAATTAATCCCAAAAACTAATCAAACCTGGTGGAAAGAGTTTCATAATTAAATATGTCGGCCCACGCTCGAGTAATTTGATTGGCTGTGAAGAAAGGGGACTTGATTAAAGCTGGATCAACAGCAGAAGGCGCCGTGGTACCGTTTCAGACCAGCAGATCAGGAAGAGAACTGACTGAGAACCAAGTACCTAGTACTGTTTATCGTGCCACAACGTGAACTAGTCCAGGTCCATGTAGACAATCACAGGGACTTGAACAGGGACCGGTACTGGGAACTATTGACATTGTTTCCATTGCAGTCATGATATTATAGTATTCACATTAGGAACAAAAAGAAGTTCCTGGAACTGTTTTTGCTTCAGCCTGAAAGAATGATATTGGAAGAATTTTCTGATTGGTCGTTAACTTTAATTTGATAAAATGAAGTGTCCGTTGGAACTGTTTTTTAATTTGGAGGTAGAGGCTGCAGTGGTGTTTTACAAACATTATTATAGATATATATATATATATATATATATAATTTTTTTTGCTCTTGAATCCACTCTACGATTTGATATATTCTCGTTGTAGTATTCTGGACAACTCCTCATTTTTCCTCCTTAACACGAGCAGAATTCCTGACCGCCGGCTGCTCATTTTTCCTGCAGACTAACCTCTGAAAGTCCAGCTCCGTCATTTCCTTTTTTAACCCTCCTCATCCTTGGGTGTAATTTGATTATTCCAAAGCAGGTGTTTCCAGCAGCCGGCTGATAAAACGCCTCGCTGCCTCTGACACCAAAGTGAGTCACATTAGATGGTCTTAAAGAAGGGGGAGAAAAAGGGGCCGCAGCTTCCTCTTATCTAATCTGGGGGAGAAGATGGGATTGAAAATCAGCGCAGGCTTTTCAGCGTGTATCTGTGAAATAAAGCCACACGCGGTAATGTTTCACAGGAGGCAGGGAGGGAGGGAGAATCATCTGCAGTACATCTGCTGAAACAATAGACTGTAAAGTCATTAAAACGCCAGCGGTGACGGAGATTCTCGTGGCCAGAGACGCTGCATTCCATCAGTGGGATCGGTTCTTTAGAACCATTTAAAGACAAGCAGCAGCTGATGTAAGAACGGAGGCAAAAGTTCAGAGCAGATGGAGCTCCTCATCTCTGAGGAGCACTTCCTGGTTCTTCTACAGTACCTGGTCGTTGGACGGCCTGGTACTGTTTAAACATTGGCCAGTACTGTTAGAGTGTTTACTACAGAGTACTGTTGTCAGGTAGCTGTGATACTGAAGCAGGGCCTCAGGAGGCAACAGTACCAGGGAACTGCATTGTACTAAAACTGCAGGAACCGTTACCAGTCGGTCATATAGTAATGTACCAGTACCCAGAAGGTAGAACTGTTGTTTTCCGTATACCACTTTGTAACTGGATAATAAAATACTAGGAGTAAAGGAACTGATCACTGGTACTGTTACTAATTACGTTTTACCTTCTTCATGTCATCAGAAAACTCTAGAACTTAATGCACCAACTATTTTTTTGGACCCTGATTCAGGTTGGTACTGTTTTTTACATATATTTACTCAACAGCAACATTCACAGCCTGATTCTTCAGTTAGTTGGTTAGTAAAACTACCAGTCTCAAACCAACAACCTGCTGTTTCTCCAACATCATCAGCTCAAATCCCAGAATATCAGTACAAATCCAAAGGTTGTTTTGTTTTTTTTGTTTTTTTGTGGCTCAGAGAAACCAACATCTGCTGCTGTGGAATGACGACTCGGTTTCATCTGCGAGCTCATATTTCTGAACAAATCAGATTCCCATCAGACCCGCTCCTCTTTCTGACCGTTCTCTGGGTTCTAATCCCTTTTTTCCCCCCCCGGCTCAGAAAGGACACTCGTGTGATCCTTTAGCATTCAGACTGTATGCAAACAAAAGCACTGATCCTAATCCGGTGATTGAGCGCTCAGACCTACGGTGCCCTGCAGCTCCGAGGTGAAAACCTTCCTCTGTTAGAACAAACACACGGTGCTGGTACCGATGTGTTCAAGTCCAGCTGTGCCTCTGAGGAGACGCTGCAGTTTCCTCCTGGGTTTGTTCTAATTTGTCAGGGACTAAGATAAAGCCGTTCTTTCTCCAGAGATTTTGTGATGAAGATGATGATGGAGATGATGAAGATGAAGGTTTCATCAACCTGCTGACCCCCCCCACCCCCCCGCCGTGCTGCGGCGTCTTAACGGCTCGGCTGAACTCCAACAGTCGCCTTTCGTATGCTAATGATCCGGGAGAACTCCGACCTACTAACGGGGGTCGGTGCCTTTGGAGTGAAGAGTCGTTGACACATGAACTTGTCTTCTTCAACTGACACTTAGTGACTTGATTCTGGCTTCATTAAGTCTAACGAGGCAGCAGGAAGTACAGGAGGGGGGGAATACACAAGAGTACACAGTCTGAAGATTCTTTTTGTAGTACTGCGTCTTGTCAAGGACACAGGATTGATTGCACTACAGCAGCCTGTTGGTTTGAAACAGTTTTTAACCCACGAGCCATGAGTCCATGAGGTGCACCAGCAGCCAGGACCAGGGACCAGTTTAAATTCTGCTCTCTGAGAGAAAAGAAGACGTTCTTACCGTGAGTTGTGCAGCAGCTTCAGGAGTTTAATCCAAACATCCACTGATTCAAACTGTCCTCCAGCTTCGACGTGCGACGGTAACAAGAATGCGTCTTCCTTTACTCCTGTTCCTCAGATTATTCTCTCTTTCTTCATCTCTCTGAGCTGCTTGGTTTTCATCGTCCCGCTCTTTTTCTTCTTTTTTTTTTCTCCAGAGTGTACTTGAATTAGTCAGTACTTCAAATACAAGAACAATAGTACCAGATGTTGGACGTCCGTGTGGTGAGAGAAGGTAGAGAGACGACAATGTGTGCGCGTTACAGAGCGACGACTGTGGCAGGAAGAGAGGAGAGGAGAGGAGAGATGCTGGTGTGTGTGCACCAGGCATCAGAGAGTGAGGAAGAGTGTGATGGAGAGAGAGAGGGAGAGAGATGGAGGAGGGAGGGAGGGACTGTGAGGGAACAGAGAGAGAGAGAGAGAGAGAGGTTTGTGAGCGGTGCGGGCTCGGCGGCAAACGACACTCGTGATTGGATTAACGTGAGGCACGAGCCGCAGAACCCCCCCCCCCCCCCCCCCCCCCCCCCCTGGGGCTCCCGCGCATAAGTAGAATCCCCCCCATCATAGACCCCCAACAACCCACACGTACAGACAGAGGATCGTGGTCGTTTCTGAAGTTAGCCACAGCCTCACTGCTTTATGCTAAGCTATGTTTAAAACCATCAAGACTCAAGGTTGGAGGCTGGAATTGGGGGCCGATTTGTGTCCACGGCCCAGGAGTTTGAGACCCCTGATTTAAACTCTTGACAGATCAGATCTGATTGGCTCGGCCTGAGATAATTAGATGAACTTCTTCCCTGAAGGACTTTTGTTTTTTTGACAGGAACTAATTGGTACCGACCTGCAGCAGGTCTTGGGATCCCAGAGATTAGAGAGTGAAGTGAAGGTCATGTGGTGGTTAAAGGAGCACTTGTGTGCATGGATGTATTACATGGCCGTGAAATGTGACTTAACAACGTGTCCTGTCTGTGGAGGCGGTGATGTAGTAGACGGCAGAGAAGAATGGTCCGTGTTAACCTGGGGGGGGCGCTCAGCTGCTTCCTGCTAATACCCTAACCCCTCATGGAGAGAGACCCAACCCTCAGACATCAGCACAGAGAAATATTACATCAGCCAAACATCAAAACTTCACTGGTTCCTCTGAAGTCTGGGGACTCTGACCTAAATCCTCCATTTTTTTTCTTTTTTCTGGTCTTGTGTGATTTACTGGGTCGGCTACTTGATCATGCAGAACACAGATGTCATCTAGTCTCTTGGCGGCATATTGAAGAGCAACCAGCCGCTTTTTAACCTTTAAAGTTGGACCTTGATGTGGTGGAGGAGAATCAAAGGTGGCACACATCACTCCACAGGAAAGGTTAGAGCGGCATTAGCATTTAGTCATGTCTTTATTTTCATCTGACTGTAGTGAAGACTCAGACGGAGACAGAACCTCTCGCTTCTCACGTCTCGGTTGTCAGCAGTGGAGTTCATTAAACGCTGGTCTGAATCCTACGAATTCTCAGCATCGATGGACTTCAAATCGGTCGAACGGCTGATCACGTCAACCAATGGATTTGATTTGATCGGTTGAACTGGTATAAAATTTTAAATCTTGCTGATCACGTCAACCAACGGATTTGATTTGTTCTGTTGGTTGAACTGGTATAAAATTTTAAATCTGTTAAATTTTCCCCACTGCATCAGTTCCTTCACTTCGGAAACAAATGGTATAAAATATACCATAAAATATGACCTTTGACCCCTGACTCAGAAGTGTAATCTGCTCAGCGCTGCTTTAAGATTGTACCCCCTGTTATGGCCAACACAAGTTCACAATATCAGTCATGAACGGACACACCGTGGTCCAGTTGACAAACCTTCAGATTTTGTGGATATTTTTGTGGATTTTGTGCTGAGTCAAATGGCCACTCCGAGTTATTCTGGAGAATTCTCAGTTAGAACTTCTCTGGGTAACCAATTCTGAAGAATTCTCAGTTAGAACTTCTCTGGGTGCTGTTAATGGGCCACGCCCCAGATTTTTGTTTTGTCCTGACCTACAGTTCTACATGTGTTTAATGAAAATGTTCTCGTTTATTTTTTTTCTCTCTTCCTGTTGGATGTTTGTTATAATGTTGTCTGTGGTCGCACCGTGGAATTTTTAAAAACGAGGAGCGAGCCACCGCGCTCCTCAGGAGGCCAATTAAAGCTAACGGATAAACTCAACGCCATTAATTCAGAATTATCACTGCGTGTTGGTTTGATGGTGTAAACGTTCCCTCAGCTTATTAACAATTCTCCCACTGAAGTTCACCTCACACTGTGCTCTCAGAAAGAAAAAAAAGCTGCTAAAGAAGAAGAAGAAATCAAGTCAATAAAAGTAAACTATTATGAGCTCCGTTCCTTAATCCACGTTGGTACTTTATTTTTAGAGCGCTGCACTGTTTGCTTTTCATTTACAATTCTGGTGAGAAAGAGAACTTTGATTCATGTCGAAGATTATTTCATCAGATTTCAGCAAAACTTTCCTAAAATATAATATCGTAGTAAATCATCGGTCGCACCAGTGAGTGTCAATAACAAAGTTATTTTCAAAATATAACTTTATATAATTTTACAGAATCATCCACAGTGCGTCTGTGGTCCACGACCCGGGGGTTGGGAAACCTTGATTTGTACCATTATGTTTGTTTTAGTTTGGGAGGTGGATGGTTTTCTGTAGACCACAGAGTAGCTGTGGTGTAGTGGAGTCTCTGAGTCACAGGCAGGACAGAGGAGATTAGATTAGGGTCAGGGTTCGAATCCACAGAGCTCTGAGTCGAAGGCAAAGACTGGGGAGTTGATGAGATCCGGTCGGGTCCAGTTCCTCGCTGGTACTGGTCCAGGACACGCATTAGAAGAAGAACATATGTTGGATTCAAGTCTCAGGACTAAATGAAAGTGATTCAGAGTTCACAGACTTTATAGGAAGGTCTGAGTCTCAGGTCTGTGTCTGAGTGTGTGTGTGTGTGTGTCCAGGGTTTCAGAGCTCCAGGTCATCACTGTAGTCCGTCCTCAGGTCTGTCCAGGGATTCAGTTTTACTGTGAGTCTCATATATATTTACTTCACATCTGAACTCTCTGAGCTGAAATACAAACACACTAAAACCTGCAGCATGGATGAAATAACCTGTGAAAACACAACGCCACGACGGGTTTGGAACAAGTTCAGCGGCAGCGCAGCCTGACCTTCGGTGAAATGTCAGAGCGTCTTCTGAGGCCAGGACGTTCCTCCTCTCACCCCTCTCTTCTCTGTCCTTCCCCACTTCCTCCCTTTTCTCGTCCAAAGACACATTCTGATGTGGGACATTCCACTGTCCTGTGCAACGTCAGAAAAAAATTCTCTCCGCTCCAAACCGCCCTGATTGACGCTCCGTCCCAGTCCTGCTTTGTCGACAAGCTCCAGGAGGATTAAAAATGGAGTCCTGGTGGGCCGTGGTGTGCCATCTGGACTGGACTGATCCGGGAGCAGCAGCAAGTCATCCAGAACTGCTGAGTCCAGAGAAACCCTGCAGGGACGCTCTTAAATATACTTAACTGTATATTTATATAATCTATGTGTGTATATATTTAGGCACATTTAAATACATACATATATATATAGTTTTAGTCTTTAGTTTAAAACAGAAGACATTTCCCCCCCACCCCCCACCCAGAATTTTCTGGACACCCACAGTGTCCTCATGTAGCACGCCGTGTTCCTTTTTCTTTCATTTTGAAAAGAGAAATTTGTGCAGGGAGGAAAAAAAAAGAATCCAATTATATATTGTTTGATTTTCCTGGACCATGACTGGGGATGACAGGAGCTCCATGGCTGCGGGACAACAAGGACCCAGGTGTCCTCCTTCTTGTTAGCCTCCAAGCTAATGAAACCCGCCCTCTCTGGATCACACGGCTTGAGACGAGTCCAGTCCGGTCCTGAGGGAAGTCTGGCCCAGAAGAGGGCATCTGGAGCTGTGGTCCGCCGCCTGCTTCCTGTCTGAGCCTCGGCAATTATCCTGGGGAAGAGGGACAGGCGTTATCCTGAAGCAGCACAGCAGATCTGTGGCGGTGTGATATCGGCTGCTGCCTCCTGTCAGCTCCGCTCTGCCTTTTGGAAAAATTCAAACCCATTTTGAGCCTGATGTTTAATTTACCCAGGGTAACGTTCCTCCAAACCAGGGTGGTCCAGGCGGAGTGGGACCCCAGACCAGCAGCAGTGTCCAACATTGAACACAACGCAGTATTATATAGTATATACAGAAGTACTTTGTACTTACATTCATGTTCTTACAGGTATCATAGTACCTCAGTCGAGGGTGTTTTCAGGATTTTAAAATTCAGTCCCTGGGGGACAGAGGTGGGGAACTGCCAGCTCTTACATCATCCATGTCCTTCTCTCCAGCCCTGCTCCAGCCGTGCATGTGGACGTGCACGAGCAGAGCTGATGGTACTGTAGCTCCAGTCTTTAATGAGACTGACAGCAGTTTATTGAACGGCTTTTAAAGACAATTGTTGGAGTTATTGTCAGAAACACAATGGAGGCAGTGGAGGCAGAGGAGAGAGAGCTGCAGAGAATCACTCAGTGTTTCAGCTGCTAATCTCACACACACACACACACACACACGTACAGGAAGACCAGGAGCTGTGGTTTAAAGTCATTATCTGTCATTTAAAACACACACACACACACACTCACGTGTCACATGACCATCATGCGGCTCCGCTCACAGTAAATCCCTGTTTCTCCTCCTCTTAAACGACGGCGTCGCTGCTGTTGATCACGTTTTGTTTTTCTTCATTTCTCTTCGGTTCAGGTGTAAATCCTCTTTTTATTGCCTTGTGTTTCTTCACGGAGCTGTTTATTTCTTTACCTGCGAACATTAAACTGTACCGTGGTGGAGATCTGCTCAAGTACTCTGTCCCGGGGAAAACTGTGCTATTGGAAAAAGTACTAACCTGAGTCAGTGAACAGTACTGTGTTCTCCAGAACTGCTGTGATGTTTTCATTCTGCTTTGGCTCCACTGCAGATTTCTTCAGATTATTTACAATATAGAGTGGAGTCAAAGTTTATTCCTGGAGCACATTTAAAAGCAGCTCAGTCGACGGCAGCGCTGCACCAATACTAAAACATATATATATAAATATATACGTATACTTGTAAAACAAGTAATGTATGAATGGACTTCTTCTTCTTTAACTGTTCCTTGATTTAGGGCTGTAAGAAAATATAAATACACTGAAACGTTGTGATCTCTCCATTTCCTGATCCCGTATCAATCTCCTCCTCCATCAGTTATTGATTTTTTTCTCACCAATTCCCAGTCCAATATTCCTGGTGTTGGACTATTGAAAAAACATTGTCAAATCGTTGTCCCTGTATCGTGACACGTATCGTATCGTCCGACTCTTGCCAATACACGGCCCTAGTTTTAATATGAATCAATATTAAAATACACAATCATTTGTTTT